GGCTGCATGCACAGTCTGCCCTTGTTCCCGTTACGGGCCGGGGAACCCGGGGGCTGGCTTCTCAGTGGCAGGCGGGAAGCAGGAAAGGCTGGGCCGGGCCCCACGCAGGCCCCGGCCCCGGCGAGCCCGGACAGCGCCTAGCATCCGGCAATCAGAAGCGAATCCTCCAAAATCCTGAAGTTGGCTTAAAAATGCGAAGTTGGGGCGGAGGGCAGGGGGGCTTGTTACTGGCCTCCTGCCTGCAGGGGAGACGTCTTCAGGCTTTGCTGCAAGGCCACAGGGCAGGAAGCGGCCAGGCAGCAGCCCCCTGCACGTCGTGTGCGTGCCGCAGCAGCCGCACGCCGTTCGAGGCGGGCGAGAAGAGTCACGTGACCGTGTGCTGCGGGCTAGTGAAATCCTGCCCGGAAAATGAGTTGAGTCTCCCTTTGTGATTCAAACGCAAACGGCAGAGCAGCAGCGGGCGAGCGAGCGTTTCCGCGGGTGCGCAGAGGGTTTATTAATAACCCCTCACGTGTCCTGCTGGAGCTCCAGCAGCCGCACGCCGTTCGAGGCGGGCGAGAAGAGTCACGTGACCGTGTGCTGCGGGCTAGTGAAATCCTGCCCGGAAAATGAGTTGAGTCTCCCTTTGTGATTCAAACGCAAACGGCAGAGCAGCAGCGGGCGAGCGAGCGTTTCCGCGGGTGCGCAGAGGGTTTATTAATAACCCCTCACGTGTCCTGCTGGAGCTCGGGGACATCGGTCCCAGGGAAAGGAAACGGACGTAGTGGGACAACCGCTTACACCGGTAACCCATAAGCCTGGGCCCGAGGGGAAACAGAGGCCCCAAGAAAGCAGCTTCCCTGTGGGCCAGGCCACGCAGGGAGTCCGAAGCAGGATTAGAACTCAGGGCCTCCGGCAGCCCAGCACTAGGGCTCACCTCCCTGCCAGGAAACTCTTTGGAGCTGACGCGTTCAGACAGGGGCGTGCCGATTTTCCAGACTAGAGGAGTCTGGTCTGTCCTGCCTGTGCCCCCCGGTTCCACCTCCCTTCAAAACGACTTGCTCAGAGCGAGACACAGAAATCCCGGGAACGCTGCCGACCACAGGAAAACAAGCCAAATGGACCGGAGTAGAAACAGTGCGGCACCAGGGCAGCGCTGTCCAGGGGTACCACCACGCCGGAGAGAGCTGGGCAAATCGCCGACATACCCCACGAGAGAACTGGGCGTACCCGAACTTGGGATGTAACACACTGACCAGCGACCCCTGTCCTGATGGCTTTGCAGAGGATACATCCTCCTTCCTTCTCCCCCGGCATGGGCACGCTCCATACGGAAACTAGGGTGTCAAACAGCGCGTAACCGGTTCGCTGGGATCCTGGGGGCGCGGGCCTGGCCAGGCCGCCGGTTAACTCGCTCCCCTGGTAAGCACGCCGGTAAGGGTGATGCTTCCCAGGTAGCTGGTTAACTCTTCACATCCCTATTGGGAACAAGCAGGGGCCCGGAGAGATGCCGGCCTGAGGGCCCGCTGAGCAGTCTGCCGAACTCCTCTGAAGCCACCGAGTTTCACACACAGAGAGAACAGAGACCTGGCTCCAGGCGCCCCCTGCTCCTCCAGCTGCCGGGAAGCCTTGGGAAGAGGCTCCAGGTGTTTCTTGCACCAGAGGAGGGAGACGGGCAAAGTCAGTTTTTATGCTCGAATCCGCTCTCGCTGCCAGGAAAACACAAGCCGGCTGGGATGAAAACGGGCCCCTTGCAGAGCCATGCTTCACAGCACTGGCACGCGGCCAGACAGACCGGGGCAGGCTCAAGCGGGCTCAGAGAGAAGATGAATAAATAATCCACAGATTTCCTGGTGCTGAGTGATGGGAAACAGGCGGCTGAAGCGCTGGGCTTGGGGCGGGGGCAGACGCAGGCCCAGGGCCCCGGGGACCTTGCTGGCTGTGGGCAGGCACTATGCTGGAGCGTGCCACGGGTGGGAGGGGCACACAGAGCTCCAGGCAGTAGCTCCATCCTTTCTGCTCTCAGCCCTGCCCCTTCCGGGAGCACGGAGCCGGCCCTGCCCTGCCCAGGGCCCCGGCCAATCTGTGGGGTCCCCTGACGGCTGTTGCTACGCACAGGGCGACTACCTCTCTTGCCCCCCAAAAGCAGCCTTCTCTGGGTGGGAACCAGCACATAGGAACGGGGGCCATGTGTTTCAGGCAGGAAGCAAGGAACGAATATAACAAGCTACCTGCTGCCCGGCGGGAGGAGGGGCAGCGTGTTCGTACAGAAAGGGGCTTCCAAGGGGAAGGCTTGTTTTCCCGCCTGCCAAGTCAGTGTAACACACTGCCACAGCCTGTGAGCACCCCGCCTGCTGGGAGCCGCCCCACTGCAGGGTGACCCCCGACTGCACCACCCCGCCC